ACTTCGTCATAGATATACTGATGGAGGTGAACTTAGGTAGCTGTGGCTTCACAGAGATTGATCTACTCGCTAACTGGAGGTCACCTGGTTGATTTGGAGTATGCGGACGATATTTTCCTGCTGGGTGAAAACACTGACAAAATGCAGAGTCTTCTGAATGTGTTGAGCAGGAATCTGAGTATGTTTGACATGCGTCTGTCTGGCGCCTGTCAAATGTAGAGTGGTGCTCCAGGACTGGTGTGCTGCAAGTACTCCCAGGTTAATGATAGGAAGTGAAGTGGTGGAATGTGTCGACTACTTCACTTACTTGGGGAGTTTCATCAGCCGAACGGGCTGGTTGCTGACGAAATCTCAGTTGGGATACAGAAAGACTGTTTGTGATTTGCCAATTTGCGTCACCTGTGGAGCCGACTAGCGGGATATCTGACTACCTGTCAAAGGTCAGGTACGCTGCAGTTCAATACGTTCTGTTCTGTTATACGGCTGAGATATATTTGTTAAAAGTAGAAGATATGAAGTCGTTAGAGTTTTGATCATTGGTGTCTTCGTAGCATTGCTTGCGTGCATTGGGTGGAATCACTGTGGGAGCAATGTTGATGTTAGGCAAAGGGTAGTAAGCATATTGATTGATGAGGTTTTGAAACTTAGTCAACTGAGATGACTTGGATATATACTGCGCATGCCTACCCACTACCTACCTGGACGTGGCATGCTGGGTGAAGTTAGTGTTGGAAGAGGGTTCACGGCGGTCAAACCAGGATGCGGAACCAGTCGATGAAGTCTATTATTGTTGGTCTCAGTTATGTGGGATGAGGATTTACTGGCTGGAGTTCACGATACGAAAGGTGTCAGTGTTTGAGGATTCTCGGTGATATGGTTGAAAATCGGTCACAATGTCGCAGATCTATTTACTCCTTAACATCTTCCAAACTTGTATGTTCGCACTAACCCTTATCTTTATACTGGTTTTCGTCTCAAATGTTTTTCTTCTTTCCTACTATCTTTCTTCTATTTCGCTGCTCTTGACGTACTGCTGCGAAATTCAGCAACTCGAGCTAATGCGTGTGTGCGAGGTTTTATGTTGATTTCGTGAGTCAGTCACTCGTTTTTTGATATTCGCATATCTGGTTATCACCAAAGGTGGTGTATGTTTGAAAAGCCTTTGGTATCCAGGTTGAGTTTTCGTCGTCATCCAGTCCATTAGGGTAGATGTAACTTCTCAGCTAGATAAAATGGTCGATGTATAACGCCACTTCCCTCCCCATTCTTAAATTAGGCGTCGCTGTGGGCTAGTCTTGATTCATTAACTTGAATTTGACGAGAGCGAAACACATGGCAGATATGTTCAGAATTTAGTTTAAGGTGTTAAGACGATTACATTTTATTAACTCCAGGTTTCTCTAAGTTCGCTTGTTTCCAGAGCTACTTAAGTGTCGAATGACTATGGATGACAGTATTTTTGAAAATATGTCAGTAAGACTGGTCAGCTTTTGGCAATCATGGGAAGAATTGTCACTTTTTTTTAGAAATATATGCAAATGGAGTTAAATCCTAACGCCTTACTATCGCTCCTAATGACAGATAGATGTTATGACAACAGAGAGCTTGACATAGCTGCGTATTGACCGCAGCCACCACAATTTACACCAACATATAAAGGTAAAAATTATTAAACGGAAAAAGAGAAGTTAAAATAATAATTATATCACCAGTTGTGTAAAACCCTAAAGCAATAAAGGCAAGAGATAAGGTGAGTAAAGATATATGACGTCACCATCCCGATGCAGATAAATTGTGGGTGCATCCACACACTACTTTAGCATCGCTCGAGTACCTACTGTTCACAACCAACTACTCTCAATAACTGGAAGCTATACATTCAGTTCATTATCAACTGATGAAGTTTGTGCGTAAAAACGGAAGAAAAACATTCATTATTAAAAGTTATTATACAATAATGGATGTATAGTATAAAAATCTGTCCTTTTTAACCAGTTATTAGTAAAATAGAATATCTGTTGTTTATCTTCTATAATATCACAGTAATAGTTACTGTTTGGTTCTTTCTTGCCCATCGGTAGGTGTGTGTATAAAAAAAATAGACAAGTCAACGGTATGAACACTTACACATAAAAGAAATACTTTCTTAATTCTTTAGTTTATTGTTTGAAATTAAATTTCACCTTCACTAGATACCGAAGACGAATTTGATTCACGTCATACACAATGTATTCATTAAATTGTAGAACACATTTATTGACCTCTGATTCCGATGCTTCGATCAACTTCCCACATGGTACGACCACACCATCATCTCTGTGAATAAAAATTTTGAAAAAATAACTGGCTAAGCGTAAGGCGTTATAAAATTCTCTTAGTGAAGAATGAGAAGTAAACAGCTCAGTTAACATCATCTAAGTATAACAATGAATTTTCTCTTATCCATGGAGATCAAGATAAAGTTATGGAATAAGAACTGAGGCACATGGTACGAAAAAATGATCTAGAAAAAAAACAATCGGCATCTTAGATTAAAAAAGTTATGGCCTGAATGTGAAAAAAACATTTATCACAGTAAAAAGTGTGTACATGGGGTAATTGGTGAGCACATGTTTCAGTACTACCAGTTGCTCAAAGGCGTGTATAGAGAGAGGTGGTGACAACTAGAAATACACTTATTTCAAGAATTATACAACGCCATTTTATATTTCTTCTATTATTCTTATTCTTTCTCTTAGATTTTTCTAATAACCCACTCTGAAGTTTTTGTGCGTACCTTCCATCCTTGTTCAGTAATAATTAACTTGAACGCACAAGGAATTGTAATTAGTTGTCCATGATCATTTGTCGAACGTTATTTTTTTTAGCTTCAACTCTTTTCAACCTCACCCAGACAGAAGTAATTACATCGTCAGGATACAAGTATCAACGTTATCTAGTGAAAATAACTATTCGATAGTATTTCCTCCCAATCAACAATTATCTGTTTACTTTGATTAGCTCATTACATTAATAAGTAAATATGGAGTTCAACTACTTAGGTTGTTAGGGATGGTGACGATCACGTGCCATTACAGACATGTGTATGTCTGCATCCTAATGGTCGCAGACAGCAATTGAACGTGTGCGTGGTCGATTGGAAGACGAAACGTGAAGTGCGCATTTAGGGAGGATAAAGCTTGATATTCATGTGATTATGGCAGCGATTCTCGTCCAGAAGACATCTGAAGTGATATTCAGTCTGCTGCAGAAACAGCGGTAAAGAATGTTGGTAACTTACATTCAAAGGCTAGCAAACGTCAATGGATCCCCACAACTGATTGGTGCGAGAAACCTCATTCCAGCTATCTCTAACCACAATGAAGAGCAAGAGTAGGTCAAACGTAAATCAATGAAGCGTCTTCGCAATGACTGCGAGCAATGGTGGATGGTGAAAGCGAGAGAATGCAGAAGGCATCGGAATTAGGTTATATTAGACAACTTATTAGGCTGATTAAGAATACCGGAAAAAGAAAACGACGGTCAGTGAAACCATCACCGAAAAGCATGGGATGATGATAACTTTTTAGGACTGATGGCTACAACTTTGGACAGAACACTATGAAGCACAGTTCAACTGAACCACAGCCACAATTCGGTTTTCCAATATCCAGTTAGCTCGAACCTTAATGAGACTCTCCTTGAGGCTGAGAAAGTTGTATCTAACCTGAAACAATGCAAAGCAGCAGGGAATGATAGTTTGCCACCCGATGTTTTCAAAGATGGAGGTGGGAAATCCCTCATTAAAATACAAGATGGTGTACTTCACTGGTTGATCCAGTTTATAAGAAGGAAGAGAACTCTTCCTGTGACAAACACAGGTGAATTAGTCTGACTAATGTTGTGTCAAGGTCCTTGGGTTCATAGTTATCTGACCCCTAACTTGGGGCTCGAAAACAGCAAATCCGAGGTAACCAGAAAGGCTTCAGGCATGGATGGGGGTACTTCGATCACATTTTTACCCTTTGGTAGCTTTAAAAGCACAGGCATATTCACTAGTAACTACATATGTCGTATTTCTCGACCTAAGTGGGATCTTTAACTCTTTCAACTGTGAGGTGTTGTGGTAGTGTCTGAATATGAAAGGAGTACCAAGCAATCATATTATGCTAATCAAAGCATTTTGTTCGAAGTCGCACGGCTGTGTAAGGGCCTGTGTGGAATTTTCTTCCAAAGTAATGACAATCAGTGGTGACCGCCAAGGATGCCCGCTTACGCCCTTTCTGTTTAATTTTGCTATAGACGTACTGACGGATGCAACTGTGTGTACTACCTAGAGTTCATCTGGTTGATATAGAGGACCCAGACAACAGTGTTCTGCTAGGTGATGAGGCTGAAAAAATGCAAGGTCTTCTGAAGACTTTAAGCAGAAATCAGTATGTTTAGTATGGGCTTTGCATATATCCAGTTAAGATGATGCTTCAGGATTGGTCTGCAACTACTCCCAGTTTAAGGATAAAGAGTGAAGTGGTGGAATATGTCGATCACTTCACTTACATAGGAAGTGGCATCAGACCGAATGGGTTGATAGCTGAAGTAATCTCAACTAGGATACAGAAGGCTTTTTTGGCATTTTCCAACTTGTGTCATCACTAGCGCTGGTGACTAAACAATTAAGAACTGGTAACCTGCGCTGCAGTCCGTTCTATTCAGTTACATGACCGTTAAAGGTAGATTTGAAGAGACAACAGATTTTCGACCATAGGTATCTTCGTAGCATTGCTGGCGTCTGGTGGAATCACTATATACGGAACGCTGGGTTAGGCAAAGAATATTAAGAAAAGGAACCAAGTCAGTCGATGAGATTTTGGACCTTCAGCGACTAACGTGGTTTGGATATGTGCTATGAATGCCGAGCCACATTGACGTGCGATGCTGGTAAAAGTTTGATTAGGTTAAAGGAAGGCTCAAGGTAGATAGACCAAGACGTGGCACCGGTGTATGATTCTCTGAATCTTGGTCTAGGGCATATAGGGAGATATAGACTTGCTGTTTGGGGTCCCTAAGACCATAGGAACCAATAACTGCAGACACCTGAAAATAAAGCCGAAAATCAGTCACAATGCAAGTTTATTCACTGCTTGCCGTCTTCTAAAGCTTGAATGTTTTGACTATTCTTGATTTTTGAGTTCCTACTGTTCCCATACACTTCTACTTTGATATCAGTCTTTTTCTATCCACTTGTTATTTGCATATTGTTGTGAAGTGTGGCAGCTTCAACTGATGCACTTGTGTGCCAGGTCTTCATTGATTCTGTTAGTCTATCTGTCTGAGCATAATTACTCATTACTAAGAAATCTTATAAGCGTTTAAACTTTCATACACTACACAGAAATAAAATGTTGTTGGGATAAATTTGCAGAATAAAAAAAACAGGATCGTACACACTTACAAAGTTTTCCATGTTTCTGAACTTGTTCTCATTTTCCCAACACCTTTCACACTATTAAAACCAGAAAGGGTTTTCTCAGCATTGTAGCAGGCTTGATAAAGTTCTCGTTGTTTACCCAATGAAACCTATTTAAACGAGAAATAATAGAAAAAATTTATCATAATTTTGAATGAAAGATGTATGTTGGCTGAACTTCAGTCATATTCACCACATTAAAGTAGAAATTCACTACCAGTTATCAACAAATTACAACGTAAGGGCATTCAGCAACAACCAGTAACGTCGAGTATGATATATAACACTGTCGTAGCACCAAGTGCAGTTCAGGGCATAAGGGTCAGAAAGTAGATTTAAAAATGATGTGCTACTGAGGAATATATAGAACTGGGCGAAAAAAATGAAACTCATATACTTCCCATTGATGCTATTAGTAGGAAATGTCTTACGACTAATAGACAGACAAACATCATCATCATCATCAAAATCAACATAGGACCAGGCATTACTGCGTAACGGTCCGAGTTGCCACACCTCATATCAGCACATCAAGTAAAAAGGTAGTGAGGTGAAGGATGAAGATAAGTGAATGCAGTCAAAAGAAATATAAAGTATGAGAAGAAAGGAAAGAGGAGTGACAAAATAGTGAGATTCGGTATAGCGTTGTTAAGATGAGGATAATGTGTGTATACATCTGCGCCACTGACTTCGGTTCTGAGCCATATCACCTAGGGTCTCCAACCACTGGTTCCTCTTGTCCCGTGGACCCCAACCACCTAGTCTGCATCGTCCTACATGGCTTAAACCAACAGTCAGAGACTTCATACATTGGTGCCATGTTTTAGTCTGGCCACCTCGGGCCTTTTTCCAGCCTGAACCCACCTCAGCCAACATTGTGTGACGAGGCAATCGGTGACTAGGCATACGTAGTACGTGTCCCAACCATCTCAGTCGATGAAGGTTCACAACCTCGTCGACTGACTTACCTCTTCTCCCTAAAACTCTACACCTAACTTCTGCATTACTCACATGGTGACACCACGGAATACGTCCTATACTACGAAGGCAACGGTGGTCAAATACCTGTAACCTTCTCATGTCTTCCACTTTCAATGGCCATGTTTCACAGCCATACAGTAGAACAGAGCGGACTGCTGTGCAGTACACGCGACCCTTAATAGACAAACGAATATCACGGCGGCGCCATAGGTGGCGCAAATTGGCAAAAGCCAATCGAGCCTTTTGTATCCGTGCAGAAATCTCATCGGCAACTAACCCACCGGAGTTGATCCTACTTCCCAGGTAAGTGAAGTGGTCAACACACTCAACCACTTCACTCTCTATTGTTAACCGCGGTACCGCTGAAGACCAGTCCTGGAGCAAAAATTTGCATTTGGGTGGTGAAAATCGCATCCCAAACATTCTCAAATTCCCACTCAAAGTGTTCAGAAGACTCTGCATCTTGTCAGCGTCTTCACCTAACAGGACTATGTCATCTGCATATTCTAGATCTAAGGAAAATTCACCTGTGATCCGGTCAACGTCTTTGTAATTAGGTGACGAGAGGGAAACCTCCATAAGAATATCTATGATAAAATTAAATAAGAATGGGGATAGTGGGCATCCTTGACGGACACCACTTGATGAGTATAGCTCCCTGGACAACTCACCATAGGCTCTAACATGCCCACAAGTGTTCGAGTAGAGAGCTTTCAATAAGGTGATGTACTTACTAGGCACGCCTTTCAGTGACAGACACTGCCATAAGACTTCTCGATCAACGGAGTCAAATGCCGCCTTCAGGTCGAGAAATACAGCTATTGTCGGGCGTCTGTAAGCATGCCTATGTTCCAGGACCTGGCGCAGTGTGAATATTTGGTCGATACATCCACGGCCAGGTCTAAAGCCTGCCTGGTTTTCTCGGGCTTGCTGTTCCCGAGCTCCACTCAGGCGTCGGAGAATTATAGAACTTAGGATCTTAGACACTATGTTTGTCAGGCTGATTCCTCTGTGGTTATCACAAGAGGACTTCTCGCCTTTCTTGAAGACTGGGATGATCAGTGACTTAGACCAGTCGGAGGGGATCGTATTTGATTCCCATATACTGGCTAACACTTCCGTTAGCCTGACTAAGAGAACTCTACCACCATTCTTGTATACCTCAGCAGGTAGTCCGTCTGGTCCTGCTGCCCTTCCCCGTTTCAGGCTACCTACCGCTTTCTCGACTTCTTCTAGTGTTGGGGGACCTGTCTCTATGTCCCATTCAGGGTCCGACTGGATAGCGGGCAGCGCAATGGTGGCTGGAGGCCAGTTAAACTGTTCCTCAAAGTGTTCTGCCCATCGTCCCAGTCGCCTTCCCTGCGAGTGAATCGCCGATCCGTCCTTCTCCGCTATAACCTCACTAACTGTTGTTGACCATTTCCCCCCAGTCTCCTTAATAAGTCTAAATAACTGTCTACTGTTACCGATCGCCGCTGCCTTTTCCATCTCTTTAGCCTTTGCTGCCCACCACTGTTCACGATCGTTGCGCAGACTTTTCGTCAGTTTATTTTTAAGTTGCGCTCGCTCTTCATTGTACTCAGAGCCTGCAGGGATGCATTCACGTGCATCCATTAGTTTGGAAGAAGCTGCTGATATCCACTGGCTCTTTTTAGCCATTATCTTGGAGTCGGCTACAGTCTCCAGTGCTGCTTTTACAGTAGACTGAAGATGGCACCAAGCTTCTTCTGGATGAGTGACAGTCTTTTGTTCCGATAACTGCCTAGCCAACTTCTCACTGAACACGGCTTTGGTGTTTTCGTTGTCCAGCAGAACTCGTAGTGGTTTTGTTGCCAAATTTTTTCTACGTCCATTGAGACGCAGGCATATACGTGCTCGGACCAACGCATGATCGCTGTCCAAACACGTACTCCAGAAGGAGCGGCAGTCTTCCACCGATCCTCTCCAGCGATGACTAATAGCAATGTGGTCTATCTGTGTCCATCGCTGAGTCGAGCTCGGTGGACGCCAGGTCAGACAGTGCCTTTCTTTATGTCTGAAATTTGTGCTGGCTAAAAATAGGCGGTTATCTGAGCATAGTTGTAATAGGCGATCACCGTTATCTGTACGTTCAGCTGGGATTCCGAAAGTGCCACCTAAGTGCCTTTCTGCCTCACTCAGTCTACCCACCTGTGCGTTGAGGTCACCTGCAACAACCACTACGTCCGAACGTTTGGCTTTCGAGAGGAGGTTAGACAGTTTATGGTAGAACTCGTCCTTCACTTCATCCGAACTACAGTCAGTGGGTGCGTAAGCAGAGATTACAAAGAGACAACGGCGAGTCTCACTATTCCTTTTAGTTCTCACTGTGCCGTTCAGCCTCATAGCGCAGAGGCGACTATCAACTGGGATCCAGTCTAGTAGTGAGTTTTCTGCCCTGGTGCTTAATGCTATACCTACACCTGCAAGACCACGAGAGCTAGCTATCGAATCTCCAGAAACTCGAAGGGTGAATTTTGCAGATTCACCAGATTGGTCAGGAGAGGTCAGGTGAATAACCACACTTGGGTCCTGTATGCGTGTCTCACAAACACAGCACACATCCATGCCTCGAGTTGCTAGAGTCTTTGCCAACGAAGCCTGTTGGCCAATTTGACGGAGGGTGCGGACATTGAAGGCTCCAATATGTAATTTGGAGCGTGGTTTAAGGAGACCAGGGACACTGTTCTGTGGACTCAGATCGTTGTCGAAGGCTGCAGAGGTAGGAGAAATTGAAGATGATGCAGCATCATTAATTAAGAGACGTGAAGGAAGATTAGAAGGTAATGATGGAGGAGGAGGATAGCAGTCAGAAGAAACTTGGGTGCTGACAGAGTTGTGAGGGCGGTTGACACTTCCCGGCTGCCCACACCGTGGAAGGCTATTTCTTCTTAAGGTACCTGAAAG